TAGTTTGAAATAATCATTAGTGAATGTCATAAATAAAATGTAGCTCTCACTCCTTATTTTTTCACAATCCCAGAGATACACAGCGTGAAGACCTCTCACTCTGATGAGTTTTTCCAAACCAAGATTCTAACTATTGTATTTGTGCTTTTAACTATGAACTGTTCTAACTTATTTAACTTATATCTTAACCAAAGGAAGTAACTGAGGAAGTAACAAAAATGATGTTTAAGCACAAAAGTAAAGATTTGACTGATAATTATTTGATCAATGTCTAATCAGTGATAATCCATGTTTAGTCAAAGTAGAGTATTCAAAATATAAAGATTTATGTTTTATTTTAAGACATTGATAGTTGCTCATGGGGACCAGTCCATGCCATAAAAAATCACTGAGTTTTAGAATGGCGACCTGGTTTAAGGTCAGTACAAACATTTTTGTTTTGTCAGTGAATGCCTCAGTCATTTGAAATGAGTCTGAACCACTGTGGGGCACCTCTTGGAGATTCACATGAACAATTAGGGAGTTGTAATAGTGGTACAGTCAAAGAAAACTGACATTATCCAATGCTCCAACACAGTTACAATGATTATGTGTGAATTATATACAGTAGTCGTGAATGTCCCAGCTATTCCTGGCATGCCACCAGTCATGTATGACCACCTGCTGTTGCATATCGATGGTGTAATCCTGAACTCATGTTAATCAAAATGACTAACAGTATTTGGTGAACAGTCAGACTGGTGCTGGTTACAAACAGACATAGTATTTGTTCACTTGGATATGTTCTTTGCTTATGTAAAACATGTCTGGGTTAGATCCTGCTGGCTCCTGTGCTGCTGGCTACATCTCCAGAATGAGCAAGCAGATAAATTATATTGTACAAACAAAATATTATGTGCTTGATTGGCAGCAATATGAAACTGTGGTGTATGGGAAAACAGGGTGGAAGAGACATATTACCAACAATTTGGTGAACCTATCTAGCTCAAAGTCTGTGTGAAATTGAACTAGTTGTTTAGCTTGATGATGCTGTTTATGTCATACAGTTCACAAAAACTTAGCTTCTCTGTTTGGGGCACTTCATGAGCTGCTTGTGTGAGGTAATGTGCAACATGTACATTGAAGGCACACATTATTCATGTCAGTTTACACACTTTCTAAAATGAGGAGACATATGTTTGTGTAATGAATAAATCATTACCGAGACATACATAAGACAAAGTACCTTTGTTCAGTTGCACAATGTGCCCATCTACAAATCAGTGGGTGCACTTTCCGATATTAGTCACACTGTGTGGACTTAGCCTTGCTCATGGGGACCAGTCCATGCCATAAAAAAAAAATCACTGAGTTCTAGAATGGCAACCTGGTTTTTAAGGTTAGTATTTGGGAAGTAGTGCTTATGGTCAAGGTTAGTGTAAGAGCTCAGCCACTTACTGTATGTTCAGTGAAATAATGTCATTTCTCATCTTAAATCAGATTTTGCAGTGTGAGCCTGTTTGAGGCTCATTTAGTGATCACTCAAATTTTTGAATGTTATATTCATTCACATAAAGATCTGGAAGATAAACAGATGAGACAAATTGCTGATCAAGATATCGTTTATTGATTAATTTTAAAAGAAATCAGAATTATTGATAAAACTTTCAGCAGTGATGTCATTGAGGCTTTACAGCCAGATGGAAGTGACGTCCTCACACGTACATGCCACAAAGATAAGGTTTCTTATCATTACAATTTGCATCATTGGCACCACCTAGAAGTTACAAGTTAACAAACAATTAGGGCTGCAACTAATGACTTTTTAAAAAATATTAATGAATCTGAGGACTATTTTCTAGATTGTTTGATCAATGATAGTGAAAAATTCCCAAAGCCGGAATTTATATTTTGAAACAGCTCCTTGTGCCATTGAGCTTTACTCTGCTAATAAGATATGGGAATATCAATATTGTCTAAGCTGGAACCAGTGGTGTTTGTTGGCCTTACTGTGTTAAAGGTGTTGATTAATCAAAAATTTCAAAACTGTTTCCTGTTAATTATCCGTCAGTCAACTAATCACCAACAGTAAAAACCTTCTACACCACTGTTTGCTTTCTTCTCAGTGTCATAAGTAACAAAACACAATCAGAAAATTTGTTACAAAAGAAATTCTATTTCCATGTTGGAAAAAATTCCAAATGAAAGGGCAATAGATAATCACTGTGTACCTTGAGAGCTCAACTCCATACAATTTTCACGTCCACCAGCATTGTCAGGGTTCCCTGGTGCCCAGAACATGAAATCAAACATGGTACCGTCACGCCACAACCACACACCTTCCTGAAAGAACAAGACTTCACTCAGAATGTTGTACCACCACAAAGATTTCTGCCACTGCTTTAGTACATGGAGGTGAAATAGCATCGCGTCTGTGTTGGAAAATGCATTGAATATTCTGGCATCCCAACATAATTTAGTTCAGTTACATTCCAAATTACAGGTCACACTACCAAATTTAATGCAGAAGACACTATGTTTAATGTCAAATGTATATAAAATCCACTGTTAAATCACTCACGTTTTCTGCATCAGAGCCGCCAATCCACACTGGTGTACCACTGCCAGCTGCGGATTTAATCACCCCTTTAGCAAATTTCAAGTAATTTTGATTATGGATGGAGGCCAGATTCCCACCAATAGCAATGCAGGCAACCTAGTGAAGAAAAGTGTGAAGCCAAACAGATACAGAAAGTAAGGAACAAAATAATAGAGATGGAGTATGTTGGATGAGGACATGCAGTAAAATTATTTAGCTCCATATCAGGACTTGAACTGAATCTTTATTGTAAAAACAAGATGTTTTAAAGCACATAGCATAAATACACTGTAGGAGTGAAAACCAATATTCTTCTAAAAAGTACCTCTGCTTCAGCCCAGGTCTTTTTATCTGGCCCGAACTTGAAACAGTAGTTAACCATCCCAGTCCAACCCTCTGGGAATTGATCATCAGGATCTACATGATGTACAAGACAGGTTGGTATCACAGCAGAAATAACAGATTATTCTTTGTTGTGTTCCTCGTGATGACCGAGGCCTCAGCACTGAGTGAACCACAATAAGTACAGGAGGTCTATGAAATGCCCCACTTTGCTCAGACAGTGTCACATGTGGGTGTTTTGATAATAAGCCTCATGTTCACTTCATATTTAAACTAATAGGACAAGATCACTTCAAGGCCAGTGTGGACAGGAGGGATAACTTCAGTGATCATAACAAGACTTAATATATCAGGACGGTTTCTTCATACAGTTATATTAACAGTGCATTTACAATTTCCAATAATCACCATCATCAGGGTTCAAATGAATACAGGATCACACAAACGGATCAGTGAAAAACAACCAAAGGTAATTTACTTAGGTCTCTTTTTCATTTTAGTCAAAAATGAGTTGGTGCTATTTGTTGGTGAGGAGAATCATCTGCTGCAGAAATGTGGATGAAGTGAAATGAGGACTGATCAGACACAAGAGTTTCATCACAGCTGTTTCAGAATCAGCCTTTACTGGATCATTACTGTGACTCAAACTACATCAACCTCCTGTCTAAATGATCCATCTCAGCCTTTTCTGGTTGGTTGAAGTGGAAATAGTTTTCTAGACCTGCAGCTTTTTAATACTGACTGAGCAGCTGTTTGACACAATGAGAGGTATTTTATCAATACATATACACATTGGTTGAACCTTCTTCTGGCAGCCCAGTACTGATGCTAAATGTTGTTTTGACAGGAAATTGTCTAACAACACAGTCAGCTCTCTGTTTATGGACAACCTATCAGACAGAAGCTGTCCAACAAGGGCTGGAGAGCAGCAGTCTTTCACAAAGTAATTTTGACAACTCATCAGTAACATGGAGTGTTGTC